TTATTCAAAATTTCAAAGTCTTTCGTTGCTAAATCATATGTTTTTGAAATTAATTTTTGAATAAAAACCCAACAACCTTTTTCCAACAATTCCTGGAGTCGTGTCATCAACTCTTCCATCTTTGTAGGCGCTAAACGATACGGTGCTTTCGTAACTGGCATCGTGCCTGGCAATAAGTCGATTCTGAATGCTACCTGCCTCTCTGGTGGTAATCCTAGTAATTCACCTGTAAATACCTATGGAAAGTCAGAAACCACATGTATATCGGTTATGGCCTTCTTTTACTTCTTTTCGTCGATTATATATGTCACAACTAGCATTTTTATCTAGGAAATTCTGTTCTCATGTAAACATCATCTATTGTAAGACTTGTACTAATGCATTAAGGTTTATATTATGGGTCCTAATGAACCATGTATTGTTATAATGAAAAGTATTCATGTATATCAAATCTCTCCCAAATCTCTCCATGTATATCAAATATCTCCCAAATCTTTCCATGTATATCAAATCTCTCTCAAATCTCCTATGATGTTTCCTTAGTCGAAGCCAACCCAAAACGAAAGGAGAAAACTTGAAGAAGCAAGCCCAGTTCGGAAAATCTTTGGAGGCTTCGGACCCTCCCACCCGGACAATCTCGCTCCGGAACCTCCCCTATTTCGGAACCTCCTGTTTTGCTCCGGAAGATTTCGCATACTCCGGACCGAAAGTCTTCGCTGCTTCGGAACACCTTCACTCGGGAAGGTTTCGCTCCGGAATCATTCTCTTAGGATCATCTCGCACGCCTCGGAAGGCTCCGCCCACGACAATCTCGCACCTCGGAAGTCTCGGATCTGCTCCGAAAGCTGCTGACCCACTCCGGAATTGAATAAATGACTTCGGAATTCGCCTCATTGACTCCGGATTTTGAGGGTTCACTCCGGAACTTCTTGAATCCACTCCAGAACTTCAGAAGGACTTCGTAACTCACTATTTGGCTCCGGATTCTAGACCATTTCAGACTTTTCTTTGTTATAAGGGGGTTTGACTTTATGATTTGATGTGATCCCCCATTTCCCTATGCAAATCCCAGTAATTTATGCATTAACCCTTAGTGATAGACATTACCCACCAGTACTCCAAGCAAATGTCAAGTCACTCCTTATCCTCCCTCATAGAAAATGTGAACTACTCTTTTCTCCATATCCCACTTCTCATATCCTCAATCTGTGAACTCCTAAGTGTGCTCTCAACTTGTTCAAGCTTCAGCCATATTCCTTCAAAGAAATTCCCAGATTTTTGGTAAGCATCTCATCTTCCTTGACCTAGTGATTCTCCACATTATTCCTAAAACCTCATTATATTCGCATATTCTTAGGATATTCTAAAGTTCAAGGAGTTATCAAACCTTTCAAGTGTTGGAACGTGGAAACTCCTTAACGCCTCTTCAAATCACCCAGCAAGCTAAACCAAGGTGAGCTTCATACCCCTACTCTTCAAGTTTTCATTATTTTTGGGGGAGAACACAAGTCAAATCTTGTCTAAATCCTTGGATAATTGCATGTATTTTGTATGTTTAGGTGTGTGTGTGTGTGTGTTGAAATGTTATTTAAAAATAATCTTTCATAAACTTAGAATATTACAAATATCATGATGTAGGGACAAAAATTTTAGTCACATCATAAGGAATGATCTGTTGGCAAAAAAAAATGAACCTCACAAAAATTGGGTATGTCCAACACATTACACCACATATGGGTAAATTCTTAGAAATAAAAGTTACTAATAAATGATATTATTATGTTGTTACCATTTCAAATATTTCAAAACTTGGGTCATTATGCCATATTAATGACTCTTACAATCTATTAGTGATTATTTATAAATATTTAATATAAATAATTTTATCAAGAAAATGTACAAAATCAAAATGGAGCTGTTATGACATAAATAATTGCATGTCATAAAACTGATGGCATAAAACGTTCAAAAACACAAGTGATAAGTTGTATGTCATAAAGCTGAAAAACGCATGTCATAAAACTGTAGTCATAACTTCACACAAGTCATAGCTTTACACAGTTAATGGTTTTACACAAGTCATAACTTGACACCTTCCGACAAAATTGGGTCATTTTGATTAATATTCAAAGTAGATTATTTTCAATAAACCAAGTGAAACGAAACGAAATATTTAGTCAACGGGTACAATTATTGTTATTTATTTAATGAATAACAAATCTCAACGATTTTCACCAAGGAAAAATCTGTTAGTATTCTAGTCAGACAAATCTTCATTGTACCTATATATATATATATATATATATATATATATATATATATATATATACATACATATTAGTGTACGTTTAAAGTCCTGTAAGAGTTATAACCAGAGTCTCCTAGAGGGGGAGCGGGAATTTGTGTATAGATCTATACGGGGTTGACACCCCGCACCTTCGATGTTCGCTACAGCTAGACTGGCCAGTCTAGGGTGACAAATGCCTTAAACAAAACCGACGCCTGAAGAACGTCAAAACAGGCACTCCATCATATTAGTATGGTTATAACGACTCACTTAGAATATAACAGTATGATTTAGGAATTTACTCAAGTTACACCTCTCGATTATAAACAACTATTGATTTGGATACTATAAACAAAGCTTTTACCACACCAGTCTTAGGGTTTTGAGACCACCATTTTATACATCAGAAAATATAGGATTTTCTGGAGAAAACGATTTTAAACGATTTTGAAAACGATAAATTAAGACACACATGCAACTATACTCGATTTGAAACAAGACTTACAACTATTTTGGATAAGAAAATATTGGATTTTCTGGATTTCTAAACTATCACCAAGTTTTATACAAAAATGCTTATGAACTCACCAACATATTTTATGTTGACGCTTTTCAAACGACTTGTATTCTCAGGAAATCAGTAAGCAGGTTTATGGATCGCGAACTCAAGATTATTTTGCTGTAATTTGGAATTTACTTACTAATGTCTCTTTTGTGTAATTTGAGAACATAAACATGATGTAAAACAATGTAAGTTTGTTATCTCAATGTATGATTTTTGGATTTGCTATGTTTCATTTATACTCAATTGTTATGATACTGCACAATGAAGTCACCCGCCTCCGGACGTTTCCGCCGTTCTGGTTCGGGGGTGTGACAATATATGCCAAGAATGTTGAACATCCCTTGGATAGGCATCTTCTAGCTTTCGTCATCATGATGATTCCAGACTTCACTCTACTCTTATCTCCATATATGACGAATGGCTCTCTTCCAGGTGGATTTATGCGCATGATCTTCCTTTCGCATAAAATTTCGGCAAGGTTCTCTCCCAACCAGTCCATGCCAAGAATTATGTCGAACTCACTTAACTCAAAAGGTAATAGCTCTCTACAAAATTCATTTCCGTTCAAGTTAATGTTCACGGTTTCTAACTTATTGTTTAACAGATACATTCCTACCACCAGCTACTTGTACTAAAATGGGGGTATTTAGTCTAAGTGGTGACAACTAATGTTTTCTACCAAATTCATGCGATATAAAGGACTGATCTTCTCTTGAATCGAATAAAATCTTAGCAGGAATTTGATTTACTAGGAATGTACCTGAAGCCACGTCAATCTCATCCTTTGCTTCATTAAGGGTCATCTGGTATATTCTACCCTTGGGCTTTACTCGTAGGATCCCTTGAGGTTGGTTTTTCAGCATTTAGGCACTCCGCCTTCATGTGCCCTTTTTCCCCGCAAGTGTAGCAAACCTTTCCTTTCATTAGGCAGTTTGTAGAGATATGCCCCAGGTTTTTGCATTTGTGACAGATGACACAGTCACCAAAATGCTTCTTCTTGCACTGGTAACACCATTTTCCTTCTTGGTTGCTCCCATACTTGTTGCTTGACTTTGAAAACTTCAACTTCTTCTTGCTGTTGTTGTTGTTGTTGTTTCCCGAGGACCCATCAGCTTTCCTCTTTTCACCGACTTTGGCTCTATCGACAGTCCTTTTCTTTATCATACTCTCCACAAACTTTGCATCCCAAATAACTGCTTCAAAATTCGGTGCCCTGCTTGACTGGCAAAAAATACTCCCATGGCAATCCCTTGGAGTACCTATCAATCTTGTCTAGTTCATCAGGGACCATAAGCAGTGCAAACTCCATTTTATCTATTAAAGCATTGGTGTACTCTTCAACCGTCATGCTTCCCTTTTTCAATGTTAGGAGTTGATTCTCCAACTCCAACATATCTTCAACCGAACAAAACTTACTCAGAAACACAAAGAAAGGGTTATAAAAGGAGTCGAACACGAATCACTTGAGATTGGTCATCTCCAGGCCAATTGTCCGAGTTTCGTGGGAGGGGTGGCTCGCCCACCATTTGTGACTTTGAGGATCACCGATGGACATCAGGGAAAGCGAAGGCCCCAAGGGCAAGGTGATGCTTACTAGCTTACGACAGAGGAGGTGAGAGCAAAACTCATTGATATTTCTGGTATGTATTCATGATTTACATCGTTCTGTCTTTATGATTATATTGTATGTGGAAAGGTACATTCTAGTCAACTTGGTAACTGCTTTTGTTTTGAGCTATTATGGAGGCTATGCATGATTAGAATTACACAGGGTTAGAATCTTTGACTTGGCTCTTTTGCATGTTCTTGTTTGACCCTTGCTTTCAGGTGGAGTTAGTTATTCGAATGCCTAGCTTATTCAGTATTACACACGACTACTTAGAGATAAACTTGGATTCAGGAGCGAGACACTCATGGTATCACTTGCTTTTAACAAGAGTTTGAAGTTGCATCAGGAGTATTAGGCCACTCTAGGTGAAGGTAGAGATAGTCGGCTTGAGTTTGCTCTAATTATTCATATTTTCAATTCAATAACAAAGGATTTTTAAGAAGTTTTAATGATAAATGAGATGAAATATCCTCACTTTACTCGGAAATGGCAAATTACAAGATAAGGAAAAGTTTATATGGAAACCTACGACGTAGAGCATGCATGACGATGCAAGAAGGAGAATTAGAATTAGATTACAATACAGAAAACCATTGAGCGCGACGTTATGAAGCCTCCACGACGCGATCAATGACAGTTTGTACAATCTATAAATAGATGCGATTTTTCTCCACAAAAGACACACTTGCATAATAATAATTCGGAGCTACGAAAGAAGAAACATCCAGTTAGGTATTTAGAAGTTTTTATTTTTGTTAATTATATATCTTTTAAATGTTAGGTACGAAGGCAGATAGATATTTAGAGTTCTTTTTCAATAAAACTAAATAATATCAAACTAAAACATTTAACAATTATTTAGAGGTTTTTTAATAAAACTAAATAATATCACATTAAAGCATTTAACAATGAATGATTCAAATCTTTTAATGGTTCATTATAAATAGATTTTTTTTTAATTGGTTAAAGACCGTTTAGACACTTTTGGTTCGTTCCCAGGTCATTTCGAAGTTGTATCTAAGAAGTTATTTAATATGCCTTTTTGCTGTTCTGGTAAGAGGTTGTGTGTGACTCGGGTCATGTCCATCTTTTTTGATACTAAACTTAGAACTTTCTGATTCAGTCATATTTCCTCTAATATACCTCTTACCGGGACAGATTGAAGACTAGACTGAGTCTGATTCAAACATATATTACTAGGTCTGCTACTATCAAATTAAATAAAAAATTTCATATAATGTGTCAATGAACATATTAGAAACAAGTCTAACATTTGTGAATCTTTATATTTTTTTAGTTTATTGAAACATGTAAATTAATACTTATCTAAATACTTGACAATGCCCAAATGTAACCGCAAAAACAAATTTCAAGTTAATGGATCTTAGAAGTTAGATATGATACTTTGATACTTGATGGTATATTAGAAAGTAGAAACCCATTTGCCAAACAAGAAACTGGCCCTGTTCGAAGAAATTGAAGTTCATAATAGTCTCAATTAGACCCGGAAAAAATCTGATACGACAGTCAACAACCTAACACAAAATTAACGGGTTTGGGTAAGAGATTCACCTCTCGCTCACAACTCACCGGCGCATCGTCTCCCACCTCTGGTTCAGAACTTGTAATTTCAAAATCTCTATTGCTTGTTCGAACTTTACTTTGGTTTATTTGGCTTGATTAATTTGTTTGCAACATTTGTTAACTGATTCTTATTGATCTGAGCGGACAGGATGGATGCCATGTCGGTTGCAATCCGTTCAATGCTTTTCGTTGTTGCTGCAATTCCACTTTACCTATGGCTACGCCGTGAGGTCTCCCAGTCTGACGGAGAAGAACCTCAGGTTAGGGTTTCGAATCAGTTGTGTAGTTCTACAAGTGAAACTTAATTTTTTTTTTTTTTTTTTAATCTTAAATCTATTCAAAACAAATGAATCAAAGAAGGAACTATATGAATGAGATTTACAGACTTAATAATCCTAGGGTTTTATTTTGCCATTGATTTGGAATACGTTGTCAGAACTGAAGGCACTGAATCAATATCTGTGATTTAGTTGTATCAAGGATTCTAATGGTATACTAGGTTGAATTTGGTTTAAATTGTAGGTAATTTATATCGATTTTCAAGTTGTAATTGATGAAAAGTTCCTTCCTGGTTTAAAGTAATGGATATAGCCTATGGTACAGCTTGTTGCCTGTGTTACAAAGCCTTTATGATCTAGTTAAGTTGTTATTTTTTGAAAATTTTCAATTTAATTGATTCTCAAGAAGCTAATAAACTTGAATGTTTTGCATGTAGGCTGGGAAATCAAACGGAAGAAGAAACTATGGATATAGGTGATATGGCGGATCGTATCAGCAATCTACCCGACCTTATCATTCATCACATTCTGTCTTTTATGCCCACAAAAAAGCTTTAAACACGTTTATCTTAACTACAAGGTGGAAGAACATGTGAGCTTTTGTTCCCAACATCAAAATTGATGATAAATTGCTGTGGGATGGAGAAGTTGAGGTCGATGTGAGTGCGAAATCCATTGCCTTTGTGGAATTCGTAGAAAGAGTGTTGTGTTTACGGGTTGACGAAATTCCGTCTATAATGCCATGCTTTCGATGATGAATCGCAAATATATTCATGGATTTCTTATGCAATCAGGCACGAAGTTGAGGAGCTCTTTGTGACCGTTTTTAATGTGCCTCCATCTGTGATTCCTAGGTCTATGTTTACGAGCACATCATTGGTTAGCCTGAAATTAAGAATGAATTGTGATTTTGAAATTCCATCTGAGGTTTCTTTTCCATGCTTGAAAACCTTGCGTTTGACTCTTGTTCGGTTTCTGGGTTTCTGGATCATGGTTATGAAGAAATAATACTTTTCTCAGGCTGCCCAATTTTAGAAGAGTTGGATTTGGAAGACTTCAAGTGGCTATACTTAGAGAACATTTTGATTTCTGGGTCTACCTTAAAAAGGTTGAACATTTATGATCCAACATAAACATTCTTTAATGCAGCTGATGGTTTTCAAGGGGTTAATATCAAGATCGATGCACCAAATCTTAGATATTATAAATATTATGGATATTTAAAACACAAGAATCTTTTGAGTAATACATCGTCCCTGGTCAAAGCATGGGTTCGCATTGTAGTCCCAGAAATACAAGAATGGAAGTCGCATCTCAAGCTCTTGATCTACTCAATCAACTTCAAAATATCATGATGTCTTTGACATTATGTGATCTGACCTTGGAGGTAATTGACAACCTAATCTACATATTAAATGGAATATATGGAAACTCGCCTCTTTGAACCAAGATTGATAAACTGACTTTTGTGTTTTGTGTGTTTTTCTTTCCCATGAGAAGACTTTCATTTGCAGATAGTAACCATTTTCTTATGTTCCCAAATTTGACCCATCTTGTGCTAAACTTGGAACTCCGGATGGATCGTTCATTACGCGCATTGCTTTGGAGAGATTGGATATCAGGTTATCTAAGCTAGAGGATATGACACAAGCTGTGGCCTCCCTTCAAAATTCTCCAATTCCTTCATGCCGTTTGTAATATATATATATATATATATATATATATATATATATATATATATATATATATATATAACACCACTAATTTCCTAAAGAAGCTAACAAAAGGGAACAGAGGTACATACGGGTCTGTTGAGATTTCATGAGAACTTGATGAAACAAGCTGTGGCCTCCCTTTCAAAATTCTCCAATTCCTTCATGCCCTTTGTAATCCTATTCATACCCCCTAGCTTAGATAACCTGATATCCAACCTCTCCAAAACAGATGCATACTTCAAAACACATTTAAGCCAAGATATTTGTAAATCATAAGTACAAAAGTTTCTGAAAGTCATTGTCTTGAGGCTATTTGAGATGAGATGCATGTAGGTATCGATGACCAAATCGACTCGTGAATGCTGCACAAGGATTCGAGTGCAGCATTCCCGAGTCAATTTGGTCATCGATACCTACATGCATCTCATCTCAAATAGCCTCAATACAACGACTTTCAAAAACTTTCGTGCTTATGATTTACAAGTATCTTGGCTTAAATGTGTTTTCAAGTATGCGTCTGTTTTGGAGAGGTTGGATATCAGGTTATCTAAGCTAGGGGATATGAATAGGATTACAAAGGGCATGAACGAATTGGAGAATTTTGAAAAGGAGGCCACAGCTTGTGTCATCAAGTTCTTATGAAATCTCAATAGACCCGTATGTACCTCTGTTCCCTTTTGTCAGCTTCTTTAGGAAATTAGTGGTGTTATATAGTTTTTAGCTAAATGGTAGCAATTAAAATTTATGGAAATTATTAATGTCATTTAGTTACACGTAGATTTTTTTTAGGGTTATTTGTTTGCAAAATATTAATTTAGCAAAAATCAAGAAATATAATGGCTTTTATGGGCACAAGAAATAAACATGTGTTTCTTAATATGTTTGACTATTTTAAACTTTTTTCCCAGGTATTAAGAGAAGGTTGTTCATTATATCTCAAACTTTATAGATAGTGTTGATATAAAAACATAAAGCAAAGATCATGAAATCTGGTTGTTATTGACTTGAGATATGATAGCCTCATTGTTATTGTTGTCGAGTCACATATACAAGTGTAATGTGGAACTATCTGATTCACTATTCGGCTACTAAGTAAACCTTATTTTTGTATATGTTTGAATCCATGAAACAACCTTCTGCAGTTTATTGTAATTTATACCCAAAATTCTGCATGTAATCTCAACATTTACCAAAATTTAAAACTTTGTTAGCTTGAAAATTTAACTCTTCATTTTACCCCTCACTTGGTTTTCATGCTCACTTTATCGTGCATGTTTGATATACAAACCAAATTAATAAAGACATTGATATGGGGGCTGTTTATTTACAGGATCCAAATGAAATGGATCCTCCTCTGTACATAATTGATATACATCTGGGCATAATATGGTGATGAACCATAAATTGCCATAGAAACACATTCTTTGTAGAAATTTGTCTTATGGAGCTTATTACTCTTCTTACTCTTAACCTGGAAATGTTATACACAGTCGTACAAAATCTGTTTTTGGTTTTAGTAGATGCAAATATTATTGGCTTACTATAAAACTACTTATTTGCTTTCTTCTCTACTCTGGTTAAATCACCATAAAATATGACATCATGCAAGAAAAAGTAGAAACTAAAACCCAACTGCCATTAAACTCTAAACCTAATAAATTAAATTTTTTTCTATACCTATCACTATGTTATAATCAATCATCTTGAAATTTGTTTTTTTGTATTACAGTTTTGTGATTGCTAATTAGTTACAAAATTCAGCCTCAAGCAATTAAATAGACACTCAATCCACTAGATAAGATTCAGAACAATACAAATAATAGGCAGACGTGCATACCTGTCACACATCATTTGCAAGGTGTAGAATCTGTTTCAACTTTGTCAAGGGTATAGGAAGCCAACCAATTCTAAACCCTCATTATCATTTATAAGGCTTTATCTTGTTCTTTTATCAAAACCATCACCTTAGTGGCCTACTACTAGTCAAAGACTTGAGAAAAAGCTCTCCACCTCACTAGGTTTTAATTGATGGGTGGTCACGAAAATGGTGCGCCAGGGCTGGTTAGTATATCATTGCTTCTCCTCCAAACCTCGCAAAGTACGAGACTATGAATTAATTTATGAGATCTCATGAATGAAAACTAAGATTCATTTTTGTGCGTCTTCTTTATCTAATCTAATTTATATATATACCAAATAATATGTTTATTCTATGATTTTAAGAAACTTATTGAAATGCATATGGAGAAGATGGTATGGCCATTAATGTGTTAAAAAATAATTGAAAGGGTATGGAACTATGGGTAAGAAAATGGTTACCTGCCATTTATGTGCTTCCGTTTTAAGTCACCAACATCTATAAACTGCATTGTGTTTCACCTTAATAGGCCGTCTGCCGTAGCTATTTCTTACTACATCTACATGTGCTTTCTTTTTGAAATTAAGACATAAATTATAAATATGACATTCGCTAGACTATATGCAATGTTACATATCATGATAATGGATTGTACCGTAAAAACATATCTGATTTTGAACTAAAAATAATGTAAGCTTGTGCTTGTAGTTTCACACCACACGCACCAAACTAAGGATTCTTAGCTCTACAAAAGTTAACCATCTAATTTAATTTATAGGTAGAGTACATATGATTATAAAATTTCATCAAAGAAACTTATTTGACTATATATATATATATATATATATATATATATATATATATATATATATATATATATATATATATATATATAGTAGGTTACATAACAAATTTCAGATAGCTTATAAGTCAGTGGCGGAGCCAGGATCCAAGTAAAAGAGTATCCCCAACAAGTAATGAGGTATCCCCGATAAGCTATCTGAAATTTATATAATGACATAAAAGGGCATTTAAAAAATATGTTTTCTTAATTAATTAAGGGGTATATTTGGAAAACTTTTAAAAAAACTAGTTTTAGTAGCTTTTTTAAAACGATAGCTTATAAGCTACTTTTTGGCTTGCCAAACATAACAACTTAAAAAAGATCGTAAAATAAACTAGTTTATCAGCTAGTCGTGGCGCACCGAACATAACCTTAATCATTAAGACTTTGATTATTATTGGTTTTTTTTGTAAAAATGACGAAAAATGTGTTATGTAACCTTTCAGTTGAAACCGTGGTTGTGGTGAATGGACGACTAAAATGAGAAGATGAAATGATGAAGTCATCTAACTAGATACTAATATAAATTGTAAAAGAGTTAGATGAAATGATCAAAATATTTAAAAAAATGGATCTAATGTGGACAAAATCAAAACTTTATTACCCCCTCTTTAAACGGTTATAACAACTATGTTGGTGTAATATGTAAAAAAAAAACTTAAGGACCTAATGTGGACAAAATTAAAACCTTATTACCATTTTTAAACGGTTATAACAACCATGTTGGTATAATATTCACAAAAAAAAAAAAAAAAAACCTTAAGGACCTAATGTGGACAAAGTTAAAGCCTTATTACCCTCCTAGGTCATTAACCCTTAAATTTAATACATTGGTAGTGATTCATAGGTTTGTTTTTCTTAAACTGATTAATAAGTTAAAAATAAATATATAATTATTATTGCAAAATGGATCAAAATACATTTATTACTAATAATAAAATAAAATGTTCCAAAACTAACATATTATAATCCAAATAGTAGATTTATATTTACTATTTTTTGCTCGTTTGATCCAAGTTTCATTAGCTGTTATCTACACTCATTCAACAATTGGCTCTCTTGTTTACCATAAATAACATATTATTAAATCGGTGAGTAAAATAAGTTGCATTAGATACAAAAATAAAAACCATCGGAAATACACTTCAACAATAAGTTTAGAAACTCGAGGCATGAGTTTCTCCTCTATGTAACACTCTAGTTTGGATTTCACGGCTTGAGAGGTAACCTTTGTTGAAATATTATCAAAGTCCTGAAAAAATCACAATTATACATGACTATATAAGTACCATGCCATTTCATGAAAGTAGAATGCTATTAATAGACATCAGATAACATTTTTTGACATCGAATTCAGATCTCGATTAAGCATCAAACATTGGAAAAAAAGTACACTATCATTAAACCACCATTAAGCATCAGACTTTAAAATAACAAAAAAAAACATTTTTTTACATCAGACATCAACACATTAAGCATCAGAACAAACCATCTGATGTTCTTTTTTTAAATCTCAATTAAGACATAAACAATCAGATTCAGACCTCGATTAAGACGAAAAAGAACAATTTTTTTATCACATTGAGCATCAAACCAAACTACCTGATGTTCTTTTTTTAATTAAACCTCAATTAAGACATAAAGCATCAGATTCAAACTTCGATTATACAAAAGAAAGTTTTTTTTTACACCAGGTACTCAAATAATAGCAATAAATAATAATAGCATCAATCATTAGGAAACTTATCAAGACATTAAAAAAAAGCATTAGAATGATAATCAACAATTTATCATGAAACACTAAAAAAAACATCATATTTAAAAAAAAAAGTAAATTGCATAATTAGAAATTTAGCATCAGACATTAAAAATAAAGCATCAGAATTCAAACATTAGAATGATAATTATCACCAAAGTATTAGGAAACTTATAAAGACAAAGCCTTAGCCATCTTTTTCATAAGACATTAACCTTTTGGTCTAATAAGTAATACTAACAACGAACTTAAAAGTACACTGCCATTATTAGCATCAACATTCACAACAGAAAATGAAATAATAGATTCATATCTAGGAGCTTAACATCATCAGTGAAGATGAAACTCCATTTAAATCATCATGAAGTTCTTTTTCAGAGTCTGTCATGCTCTTGTCTTGACCATCTTTGCCTTTACACAAACTTAACTCATCCACATAATAAAAATCATAATAAAACATAATGTTGATTCGATTTGGTTTCCAACCTTCAAATCGATAAAATTCAAACCACTGGAAAAATAAAACATAAACATACCAAATGGGAAAGGATTTGATGTTTCTTTTGAACCCTAGAATCAATCTATGGAGCATTTTCATGACAGTATGATGATTTATGGGGAGGGGAGATGGTGGATGCGAGGGATGAAGAGGAAAGAAAGTAAATTACATGGAGATAATTCCAGGAGGTATCAAAGGGTCAATATGACATTTTTAAAGTTCGCCATATCCACTCCTTCCCCGAGTTATGATCATTCCATGTTTTGGCCTCTTCTTTCGGTATGTAGAACAATCTCCTTATCATCCTTAGCCATTTTGGCATTAATTAACCAATAGCCCCTTCATTGTGACCATGCTAACTAATCTATGTTTTGATTGAAATCTGGAATAAGATGTTGAAATAATAATCTCAGATAGTTAATTGATTTAAACAAAATAAAAAAAGGTAATCCGAAGTGAATCATAAAAATGATTGTAAATCACTTTCATAATCGGCTTGTCATATGCATCAAAATGATACAATTTATAAATTTCTTACGTAAAATGTGATTGTCTATACTTGTCACTTGATCGATCCGCCAATCCAGAGGAACCGGACCAACATAATGTAGAGTAAACCATTCAAACCACTCCTTCAATGTTCCAAGAATCACGAAACCAACCAAAAAAACACAAAAACTACTTA